GGTGTATGCGTGGTTCGACTGCCCCCCGGGTTGGTTTGAAATCAGGTTTTTAGCAAACTCCCATGGGTGAACTGTCAGTGGTTCACCAATCCGATTATAGTCCCCGATGTTGACTTTTCGTCCTCTCACTTTGGTGGGAAAACACCTCCGCCAAGAGAAGATAGTGAGTAAGGCTTCCTCAGCAGAAGCTATCTGAGACGCTTGGTCGTATCGCCAGGTGCAAGGAAGGAGTTGTTAGCCGCGACCCGAGACATCCACCCCCGACCATACTGCGGCTTTCGGAGGTTGAGGGTTTCCTGTGCGTCCACAAACTTTTGCCACTACTACCACTACTTTTGACACTTCCTTGACTTTACCCAATCGCCTTCAGCCCCCTTTTTGAACTAGTTTCGCCGTAACTGATTGTCATCTACCGCCTGCATATTACACGTTTGCTATCGATAAGAATGTGTAAGAATTTTCTCTCGCAATATGTATCTTTTATCATGTTTATTCAGATGAAAGACAGTCCTGAACTCAAGTTTTGTAAAGCACGAAATCACGGATCAACATGATTTGATACTAAGAAATGAACGAAACATCTTAATGAAACAAGCTGTGGCACAAATAAAAAATTCGGTGAGAAATTTCCGATCCGTCGGGTGTGAATATTTAAAAAAGAAAAACAGTATCTCACCTGGAACCATTAATCAGGTTCCCGGATAACAAGCCTAACGATTTAGTAGTTCATCATCTATATGTTACTTTATTTGAACTTTAAATTGTGAATACCAGCCTCGGTGGGATTTGCGTCCACATGCGAATACCGTGTAAGTCTTGGCTAAACCCAGAGACACAAAATCGGCAGTCTCAATCTTTCACATCTGGTTTCCTCACAGCGCGGCATATGGAACGCACCAAATCGAATGTAAGCGGTCTGTATGGGCAGTTTCTTTTTAGATTCCACCGGAATACATCGGACGTGATTTAAGTCGGAGACAGTTGTTCAGATTGTATTGTTTTGACGGTTGATGGAGACTTAAACTGATGTTTGAAGAGGATCTATATCATTTATTGGATTTTACTGGCACATTGCCAACTGTCGTGATAGAAAATGATCACATTACAAACCGATGACGGATAGAACATCTTCACATTTTACTCCAAAAGCTCGGCACGTTTCTATGTGGAAGGGAATCGGAGTGCAAGCCATAAGTTTGTGTCCTTATAAAAAAACAGGCATTTTCTTTAGCACCAAGCCGATGACGACAAACGAACACCCCACGCGAGACAAGGCAATCGATAAATGATATAAACACAATATTAGAGCGAGCTAGATGAAAAAATCCTATCTTCTCGGTATTTTGAAATCGAGGTTCTCTTTGTAACGAATCTGTGTACAAGACAGTGGCGGTCAAATTGTGCTTCCGAACAGTTATCGACCGTAAACTGGAAGCACTTAGTTGACTGAACTTTTTACACATTGTCCAGTATATCGATCTCACAATTGTTTTTATCACAGAGAAGTGCTGTAACAGGTCTGTTTTTTCATCAGTGTTTTCCCACAAAGGCACTGAATGGTGAAAAGTCACTGAACTGATTTGTGCTGTATCGTGTGACATTGCACAAACGGAGATAACTGGTACCCTTGTTTTTTTACTGTATAACAGAAGCCTTTCTTTGTCGTGAGCCAACTGCAGCTTTTGTGTGGAGACTCTGATCTTGCTTATATACGCGTATTAGTTTCTTTTCAATTGTAGGCAAATGAATTAGCAAATCGAACCTGATAAAAGCGAAGCAACTGTTTGGTGCTCACTGAATTGTACGTATGATGACGATTTATGATTTTGAACCATTACCTCATAGCGTTGTTGAGAGGAGAGATGATGCGTGCAGTGAACGGTTGTTTTCTATTTTCATAAATGACGTAAATGGAGATTGTGTTCAATTAGTTGGATGTTGTTTGGCTATCTATTATTCCTGAACAGTTTATACATTCTCTCCGGTTTGGAATATAGTCCGCATACGGATTGTATCAATGGCACAAGATGGAAAACACGGCAAGCTAGAACCATCAGGAATGCAAGATTTACGATTGATTGAAGCAAATGAAACAGATCACGATCCCATTACGTCATTAGCTTACACTTGAGATGTATACTACTCAAGTGTGGATTGGTTCAGGTTGACGAACGGGGATTGAGAGAAGTGGCAACCCGGAACCAACTGAACTGATGACTACATTGAATTGAACCATCATCATACAGCGAAATGCCGTTCGGCAAAACTAGGATGATCGCTACCAAGCTCAACATGAGCACAGAGAAAATATGAACGCTCAAGACGGATAGGGATAACGTTTGGTTTACAGTAGGGCTGTGTAAAGGAGACTATAACTCGATCAAATTTGATTAGGAAGGACGAAGACCTGATATTGATCAAAAAGTACAGTTGCTTCGTCGGAACTATTTTATCAAGCATACGTAGGCCAAAGCCCGTCAGCTTTCGCCTCCTTTTGCTTGTCTATGGAACGAAATACAATGATATGACCAGTTAACATGTTTGAGAGTGTTTTTGAGCTCACTTGATCTTCGTGACAAGGACTGTTTAGTTTGTTTTAGTTCATATCATCAATAATAATAATAATGTACCGACGATATTAAAAGTTTTACTTACACTAAACTCGTACGAAATACAAAGAGTATTTTGAGCACCAGTGATTTTGAGTGGCAAAATGATCGAGACTAAAACTGATCACACATGTTGCTTGCAGTAGGAACTTTTACTTATTGAAACGACAACGACAATAAACGGCTGCATAGACGTTCCAATAACAGATAACACGGAATGATAGTGGTTAGCTCAAATAAACTTATGATGTCCATTGGAGCCTTGGCTTGGCACTGTAGTTGACCGTCAATGCCGAAGAAAGTGTGAATTTCTAAGATTACCTCGTGGGGAGGAAATCACACTACGTGAAACTGAAGCACGAAGCATCATAACCGTATATCCCATGTACGTCTCGAGAAAACTCTTCTAAGTGGCTCAAAGTTAAATTTTAAGAATTTTCAGTTGAGAAGCTGCATAGATTAATTATTCTTAGAAACATACCAACAGTTCCCCGGTTAATGATGATACTTACCAGGTGGTTGATGGGAGGAGGAAAAACCTAACGTAGAACTAAAGTACCGTTTCATCGCGAAGAACCCGTAGCAAAACAATTCTCAAATAAAGTCAGAGCATAGCAGAACTCGAAAGTACGGGTATTGGACTGAATTGAAGATAAAGTAATGGACGTACCCAGTGACTAGAAGCGCATGTTACCAAGCGTGTTCTCAGGCCGCTAGTGAGTGTGGACCAACAAGTCAGTGAGCAGGTGAATAGGAGCGTTTGGATTTACGAAAAAACAATCAGGGATAATCAGTGTCAGTGCTAGAGGAAGCACTGAGTTTTCGCCAAAATAAAGCCTTTCACTATAAGACACCGCACGATTGTGCAGACCGCATTGAGAGGTGAACATCGTGGCCCATCACAAAATAGAGATACTACCCCTGTCGTGTTCAATCTGTCTGATGCAGTATTCCAGATGTGATGCAACGCAGAATAGTTCAGCTACTCGTTTGACATAACCCCGTTGTTTTTCAAGCTCTATTTCAGTGTGCAAAAGTTGGTGCAGTGGTTAAGAACAAAAAGACACCACTACCTAACTTCCCACTCCGAACTGGATAATCAAATACTAAAAATACCCTAACTATCCCAGGGACACCAGATCGCATTTGATTTCCACCATTCTCTGAACGTATCTACTAAATACGTGCTGCCATTTTTCATATATCCATGGAACGGATCTGTCCTACGGTAGAAGATGGTCGCGTACAACAGAGGAGAGCTGCATGCCCATACCGAACGAACGGCAAGAATAGTAAAACCAGCCCCACCATTGAAATACTGCTTGTTAGACAATAATCAGTAAAGTGAATTACGTCAGCATAAATTCTGCCAGTGTTTACCTATCGCTAAAAACGGCAACGATCAGACAATATATAGCGACAAATATTAGCAGAAGTGCCAACTATGCTTAGACTCTTGAGCAGACCCCTTTTTGACTGTATCTCTCTCTCTCCTTGTTCCTTGAAACACGAGACAAATATGGGCCATGACAATTCTAAAAGCACATTCGGAACGAGTAGATGGATGAAAACGACAAGACAGGCCATGATGCAAAATATGTGGAAGGTCTGGTAGAAAAAAAACTAAGAACAATCGGTTCACATAAAACTGATTGGAGAATTCCACAAACAAATCTCGTAAAGACCACAAAGAGAAAACTGATCCTTTTCAATCCGAGTCACCTGTAGCTAGTTGATAGAGTTGCTCAATGCGACGATGAACAGATTGCCCGAAACAATAAATTGATTTATTGGCAGCATGGGTAAAGTTCGATCTGAACATCAATTCTCAGGTTGCATGTCAAAAACCAGATTGACAGAAAGATATTTCGAGGTGCTAAATGTACACGAGTAACACAAATCATTATGTGGAAATCTTCATACCGACTAGCGGCAACCAGAAAGCGAGTAGAACACACCAGATTATCAGCCAGTTGAAGAAAGGGAGGATGCACAACAGTAAATAGACGAATGTAGTTCGAGATTGTGCGTCTTTGACCGAAAACAGTATAAAATACGGTCAAGCTTCTTGAAAACACTGAATTCCACTACCTTCTCTAATTACTTCCATAGTTCTATTCTAATTAAGTCGCCGCTATTTATATGCTTTAGTTGCCAAAGAGAAAAAGATGACGTCTACCTGTTAGACTAATGCATGCATAAGCCGAACTGACGGTCAGGTATTTGATTTACTGCATTAACTTCACTGTTTCATAATTAACCTATGTGTGTACACCCTTAGCGGTGTCGATCACCTCACTCTTGTCAGACACGCACAACACAAATTTGGTCTGCCTTTCACACGCAAAACCGAAGTGTCTACTATTGGCTATGGCCACGAGAGCATTTGGTCTAAGCGCACACACATTCAACTATTGCGGGGACAGGGAAAGCCACGGACAAGTCGGTGTACGGACCCGTGACAGCTTCCTGTTCAAGCTTGCAGGAATATCTGTCTGAGTGGGAAAGAGATGACACAGCTGCTATGGCAAGACGAAGTTAACATACACTCTGATAATAATAAATATTATATGATCACGTGATATGAAATAGTCAGTCTCCTTTTTTCTCTCTCACTCTCCGGGTAAGTATGCAACAGACAGTTCGCAAGTTTGCCTAACGGATTCCAATAGTCCAGGATAACTTCGTACCACGAAGCCGTTAGGCTTTCAATCTGTGCAATATCCTCCGAAAGAAAAATTAGATGTGAATGACAATGATAAACAATCAATAGGTCTTAACACCAGGACACGATTCTGAGTGCCCCATAGCTGGGAAAAGCTCTCGCGTGTTACCATGCCAACAGCCCGATAAAAAATGACCAAATTTTTGAACGTTTAACAGTAAAATTCAAAAGTTCACATGATACTCCAGTACGGAGAGATCAAATAGAAGCAACTTACCCCTGACCGATGACTTCTTGTCGTTTGTATTTCCGTTTCGGATCACCAATACTAACAATCAAGCGCAATTTCTCTTGAATTTTATCATCACTCAGTTTGGGCCGGGTCTTTTTCTGTGGATGGCGCTCCAACGTTGCCGATACCTCTTTACCATTGTCTCGGTTGTCTGCGAGCACTTCAGTTGCCGAATTATTCTTGTCATCTGCCGGTGTGGTGGTGTTCAGTGTACCGGCTGGGACAGTGGGAAGTGGTGGTGAATAGGTCTGAGTTGGGGGAACTGAGGGTGGTGAGGTTGAGGGCTCCGTCTCATAATCGTTTGAGGTTGCCAGACCACGATGTAAGGAGGACTCTCGAACGGGGGTAGACTGTGGAACGAAATTCTCCTCGGCAGTTGGATCAACGGGTTGTGTATACTGGAATGCAAGAATGGTATCTCTTAGTTCAAATCAACACGTAGGAAGCAGTCGTTCATTCGTTTGCTAACTGAACAGATATATGCCAAATGAAGAAAAATGGGTCTTGGAGTTAACGTCACCAAGTTATCACCCAGGGGATGTGTTCGAATCCCACCACCACCGCCTGACTTTTCCCATTGTGTGTTAAATGGCAGCCCTTTGATTGGCCGCTTCCCCCTTCCTGAAAATTGTATCATTGCATATTCAATAAAAGGAAGTAAAATATAAAAAAGGATAAAACTAATGAGTAAACACAGTAATACAGTAACTTTAAAATAGTGAAATATTCTATAATTTTCTGCCTCGTGTGCCAAAAGGTTAGTTGAGTAGGTTCATTCAAAACCTAGGGAAAAATTCTATCTCAACTTGAATAGTAAAGACACTTTCTACAGCACGAGTTTCAAAAGAGGAACAGAATTGATCAGCGATTATTGATAATAAGATCAATAGTGGAACAGCAAGTTGAACGGAACCCGCACTTTCCTGTCCTAACAAAAGACCATGTAGAAGACAATGTACTCAGGAGATATGACAGGCTTTAAAGAAAAAAAACATTAGTTGGTCTCAATTTTTATCAACTTAGGATGTGTAAGGTCATTCTTTGATGAAGCAGCAGCGTCGGAAATACTATCCCGTTACTTGTTAATTTAGTTACAGAAGGGTAGGGCCACCCTATGTAAGGTTCTGAAATTCTGGAACCCTAGTAAGCACCAAAAGAAACAAACAATTTGGGTCTCGCTGGACAGTGGGATGAAGAGGGTCAGCATCGATTTTGCATAGTAGTCAGGCCTTGGCACGCGATTGGAGGAGCACATGTGGCTACACGTAAACAAAGCTAACGGTATACAGCTTCGTCATCCGAGATCGCGTTTTCTGTCTGTCAGTCGATCAGTTCGTCTGTCTACACATCTATCAGTCTGAATGTACAGTTCACAATTGCCTTGGTTTAGTGTTCGCTTTACAGCGGGAGAACACAAACACAAAAACGAGACGAGACGGAAAATTCCGACCGAAGAGGTGAAACGAGACTTGACAATTAATGGTCGGATTTGCATGGACTATGATTCGGTTCTGACAACTGAAAAGCGGGCGACACTGAGTTTGATTTAAAATCTGTAGAGTTGGTATCCAGGGGCGCAGGAGAACAGAAACGAGCTGGTTCCATTGAGGCGGGAGAATTCCAACTCAAGCAATGTCCCCTTTACCTCGAAATTCATTAAATTGAAAATAGATACATTGTTTTATTCATCAGGAACAAACAGACAAGCGAAGAGTCAGCTTGTAAAAAGTGGCAAATCAACCCATAAACACGAGATCTGGAAGGAAACCAAAGACGAACAAATCCATTGAAAAGGATAACTAAAGTCAATACGCGAAAAATACACACATCTCAGAAACAAAACACCTATGGAATATGAAGGATCTGGACAAATGCTGGCATAGGCTAACCCGGCGTAACCATAAAAGTGACAAGCCGGACGAGACATACATAGACATACATGAACATTTGATGTCCCTGATAAATACGTCACCCGTGGAAGGATAAAAAAAGAACGCTATTTGCAAATGGCACATTTGCGTGTGACGTATATGTAATTCTGTATACACGAGAGGCAAACGGCAGAAAGACGATTAACAAAGAAGAAAATCAATCGGTCGAACAGTTACACCCAGGGTGGGAAAGGAAAATCTTAGCTTCCATTCGTTGTCATTGTTTATTTTACCGTTCCCTGTAATTTCACCCGGTGCACTCAAGATATTTGGTAATTGATTTTTTCTTCTGTCCACACAAACCCCGGGTGGTCCGCCGAATTTATTCCAAACCTAATTGTATTAACAGAAATTTATTTACTCTCTCCACACAGACACACACAATTGCCTTACATTTCGCAAACTTCAAGTTTCTGTTGAAATTTGAGAAATTCTAGGGAGACTGACGGTACAGAATTGGGAAAACTTTGGCTCAATGTACCCTCATGATTCAGACCATTTGTCATCTAGCATGACCAGATTCGTTTCTACCACGTAAAGATTAAACTATTTTCATCGCTTTGGCTAATCGTCCCCTGTGCAAGTAAAACATGAATGGGGTTAGAGAAACCGGAAAAAGGTTAACACTTGTCACCTTTCTCGTTTCATGGAAATTATTCAGGGCTTCCGGTGCACGACCCGTCTGTCCAGAGCACGGTATTCCGATGGGATTAGAAGAAAAAATACAAGAACATCCTGACTAAAAGGAACAAAAAAGATTTTGCATCCCATCTTTTATAAAACACATTGCTACAACCATCACCACCAACTAAAAGTTGCTATCATTACCATCATAAGGGATAAAAAGTAAAGCAAAATTCACAGAAAAGCTCACACAAAAAAGCGAGTAATCATCTCAACGGATTATGAAAGAAAAGTAATCTTTGAATAATTTGAAAAATTTCAGTTTCAGTTTGTACAACCATTAACTATGCACTACCGAGCACCAGTTTTGGTTGCTATCTTTTGGTGCCCCATTTGGATGAATATAAAGAAAAAGACAGGAAAGGTTGAAAGTAGGATCGAAGAGAAAACCTAGGATTTCATTGCACTAATTTTGTAAAGAAATCGACAAGATGCACGAACACCACTGTTTACGACACCCAGCCATATCATTCAGTCAGTGTCTCCAACCATCGGGCACAACTATCCCGAGGTCCCCAGTCAGGGAGCCTAACGGGACCTATGTGATTCAGTCCCTGGTCAGGATTTTCATGCTCTCGTGTCAGGTCTTAGCTTGACCACCCTTGACTTTCTTACACCCACTACCTGTCTCGGCGAACATCGCTTGCCGTGGCAACTTATTTGGTGACAAGCGTAACACAGGCTCCAACTAACGTAATCTATGGAGGTCGACCACTTGCTCCAGTGGGCGACTGCGGTTATCTAAAACTCTGCGCTTAACCTCAGCATTGCCCGTCCGGCTGCCTCAGCAGATTCGTACAATGCAGCTTAGACACATGGAATTTCAAGAAACTCGTCCGCTGAGGAAAAGCCACCACACAGCCCACTACTACATGTAGACGGGCACACAATCCAAGTGACGTATGCTATCGTTTCTCTCAATCCAACCGATTGTTCGACCGGCTGACTCAAATTGATCGTTTCACCCAACGAAAGAAAATGATAAACACCAAAAACAACGTCCGCTTGCGCAGAATTTCTCGATAGACAACCAGTAGTACTCTATATTTACCGAGAGACGGAGAGAAAGTGAGAAGACAAGAAGTTATGAGAAGCCAGAATATAATTCGAAAATTCCCAGCACGTAAGTCAAAAAAAGGATCCTGAGAGCAACAGCAACGAGAAAAATTAGTCTGACCTGGTTCAGTGTTGTACTTCAGCGCATCGAATTTACTCCCTATCAGTGAGCAGCCCCGTGGAAAACGAGTGACGGAAAAACTTTACAGCGATTGGATGAACGAAAGAGGCCGAGTAGATACAAGAGCACCCCCGGTACACAGCATTGTACAGAGTCATACAGTGAAGTGAACTTCACTGATCGCTGCCAAACTCATAACGCATGCAAGGTCACTGATATAGGGATTGGGTCTATTTTGAGGACGGGAAAAGAAAATGAACCGCTATGGTCAACACAGAGTACACAGTTCAACTGTGCATACATACTATTTCAAGCATTCTAGTTTGATAAGAATTAACAGCAAGATCGCCACTGCTGTCGGTTTGCTGTCAAAACCTTCAGTGTCTCTAACCATTCGGTTACGAAGTCGTTTGGACTCCAACCCAGAAGACGTTTTCGTGGAAAGTGATTAACGTAAACAGGAAAGATGAAACACCATCTGAATCAACGGGAACTAAATCATTCTATGAAAACACAACTATAAATATCGGTTTTTTATGGGTACAAAACGTAATCGAAAAATGAGATGCTTAATTTACTAAACGAGGACTGGGTATAATAACCCAACCCGTTAAAAACGAACAAACAAACATATTTTGTAATCAAACTGTACTTGTCTTCAGAATAACTGAAAACGGGAATCTCGCAACAGTCGCTATATTTATCCAAACCTGAAAGCCAGGTGGAAGGACACATCTACCAGAAGTAACGTCTATCACTGACTGTATAACAAACTCCCACATCACACCATTCACAGCGATTTAGCGTGCAAGAATTACGCACCATCGAAAACCAGGTTAACTTAATCAAGCCTCGGTCAGATACTTTTTTCCATATGCGTAAGTTGTCTACTATCAATCAACTGGTCACATAAAAGATACATGCAAAGATGCACTATGGTACTGATGAATTTTATCTGGGTCGACCTGTGAAATCCCCAGAACGTATTGTGATTAGAGAACAACACAGACAATGGTGGAACTTAAGATTTTGTCAAATAGTATTCTTGAATACACTAAATCCGTTAGATATGGAAACAGAGAAGCATATGCAACGGGTTTCGACTATCAATGCCACCACTATAATTCGAATGTTGAGGGAGGTAAACGACAGTGTATTGTCACATTGCCTAGAAGGTCGTGTGATAGAATCCCACCATAACCATCACCATCACCATCGCCTAATTTTCACTGCACTTTATGATAGCCCTTTAATTTGTTGCTTTCTCGTAACTGTCATTTTGGTTATATCTAGACTTACTATTTCTATTATAATCTAGCATCAGGAAACAGAAGAGGATGACATTGTTCCTCGAAAGCATACAATGCATATAAACTTGTTTTTGTGTTGGACTTTAGACTGACTTCTTTAAGCTCAGTCTGACCAAAACCGGGGTTCCCTGAAGTATACTGACTGATCAAAATCGTCCATGGCATTCACACGCCTAGATGGACAATGAATTCACGATGAGACAGCTATTTCATATTGATGTGTCAAGAGCATTGAGCATTCGGAATCTTCAATGATAATAGCGTAGAGTAAATGCTAAACCAGGGGATTTCTGATG